TTTTAATTTATTGCAGCAAAGAATTTTTATTTTTAATTCTATATGCCATACAAAATTGAAAAAATTCTGTTAAGATTTTAAAGTCATGTATGACATTTTTTTTTTCTTCCAGATACTAACATTTTTAACTTATTTTACACAAAGCCATGCTAAATTATGTTAAAAGATAAAAAATAACTTTCTTAACATTGCCAAAAAAAACTTAAGATTTTATAAATAATTGAAATTAACTCAGAAAGATATTTTTCAATAACATCAAATCATATTTTTAAAAATAGCTGTAATCCAAGTTTAATCCATTCTAATAAAAATACACTAAAAAAACTATATTTACCGAGTCAATTTTAAAAAAGATAATTTCCTTTTTTTTTTTAAAAAAAGTATTTTCTTATCACAAATACTAAGAGGCAATGATTTGTGTAAATATTAATAAAGTGCAAACTACAAGATAGGAATATATTTAATTAAAAATTTCAAATGTTTTTAGAATATCTATCTGCTTATAGCAGATGATTCAGTAAAATATTTGATTCAGATATAAATACATTTTGACCCTTATGAAGAGTTTTGAAATCATGCTCAAATGCTTTAAATGCCTGCAAACAAATAATGCTAATAAATATGAGCCAATATCATACAAATTTGATTATATTTCATTGATAAAAGAATTTTATTTTGAGATGAAAGACAGTAATATGTGAAACTAATATAAATATCTATGTAAGAAAAGGTCACTAAAATTTTTAATAATAAAAAAAAAAATTTGAAATTAAATTTAAGGCATAGGGTATCAAAATCTACCAAGTCCAATAGATCATTTTTTAAAAAGCTTAAAAATGCATACCTTTTCTAGAACATTCGTTTCCAGAACAGTAGAAATTATTTATATTTTGCCTACACTCACATTGAAAAAAATTTATATATATATATATATATATATATTCTGTAAAATTATGTAGAATTTATGAATGAAGGATAAGTCTATAAACGGCTTTCTATCCTGACAGACTGACTTTTAAATTAATTTCCCTATAAATGATTTTTTTTTTTTT